GTGGAATTTAAGTAATCCCGCAGTATTCGAATGTTAGGCACTCCCCCCTATCTCATAGGAATTTTTCCTTGTCTCTTATTATTTGTCATATTATTATCAAGAGGGTCTGCTACTGATCTAGGTGAAGATGGTTCAGACTAATTCACAGATCCAACAGATTTTGCTGGCAAATTTTGAAAGAAAGGACCGTCCTTAGACGTAAAAAAAATAAGTTATCCACAATAAATCAAAGAAAGAATACATACAAAAAGGAAGTCTTCTTACCTTTTACCTTAAAACACCTTTTATGGTTCCCAGGCAATGGCACCAAAAAGTTGTCTTGATCCGAAATGTGTACACCCAAGTGCAGGTGGTCAAGCTGTAGCAATAATCTGGTTAAGTTCGGAGTCAAATCCACAATGAACTATGATTAGTGTGTTAAAGTAAGTAATGATAAAGACCAAGTAACTAGAAACCTTGAGAGTTTGAAGTTATGGGATTTTTTGGACAGAATATAAGATTCTTTCCAATGAATTTTTCTGGACAAAATATAAGATAAATTATCAAATCTAACAGCCACTCTTTAGCTCGAGGATCAGAACATGTAATTAATCATCTGATTTATTATACTTGTACTTGGTAACTTAATTAATTCCCGTTTCAATAGCAAATTAATCGGAAGATAAAGATGGAATGAGAGAATTAAGAGTACGATTTCGATGTCTTGGTAGAGGTGTACAAGAATTGTCTGTGCCGGGACTCAACACGTCTACAAACAAGCAAGTGTTTCTACAACGCATCCAACCATGGGTTAATATTCCATTCTTTGAATGAAGCACAATAATGGTGAAGATTGAAGGGTAGTCCCAAAGATCTAGCCGAGGTACTTGCCTTGAACCAACGGGTCTTTCTACGTAAAAGTCATCCATGTTATAGAAAGAACCCATGGTTATACAAAGTACCTTAGCTTTGTTAGATGCATTCAATCATTCAATAAGCAAGTGTAATATAAAGCATTGAAGTGTAAATTAAATGCACAAAATATAACTTCCGAATGATTTATACATGTCCATCACCTCTTACTAAAGAGTGAATGAGAAACTACTCACTCTCCATGGTTTTGGTAAAGCTAGAAAAGTGAGTGATGCTCATCCCTCCAAGTAGAGGGGTTACAAGTAAAGCACAATAAGCAAGGAGCCAATCTTCGAGGAAGAATGAGTGAATGATGTTTCACCCTTCACAACTTTGGTAAACCTCTAGAAAAGTGGAAGAGTTTCACTCCTCTAAGGGAAGAAGGAAGCTCAAGCAATGGAAGTGAAAAGTGAACAATGAAAATAGAAGAAAGCTAGTCATTTTCGGAGGGTTTACACCGCAACCAAAAGATGATCTATCTCCCTTGATACAAGTAAATATAAGACTAAGTCTAAGAATAATTCTACAACTTACAAGTGGGAGTCTAAGCCTCCTTCAAGCTTTTTAAAAGTCTATGTCTCCGTCCTTGAAGCTCCTACAATGGGAGTATTTATAGGCAAGGAGGAGGGGACAAGGTAGTGTGGAGGAATAGTACAAGGCCTTCAAAGTCCAAGTGAAAGTCTAAATGTCTGGAGAGAAGATCAACCACTCTTTATATTGTTTGGGGACAACGTTTGAATGTTGTCTAGTGTTCGAACGTTGTATGACGTTCAAACATTGCTTCTGTCTTTGCTTGATGGGCGTTTGAACGCCAGATGGGGTCTAACCTTCCCACTCAAGTGGCTTGTGGTCTTCTGTGGAAATCCATTTCCACACTCCATGCACAACTTGACATTTTGCACTTATCATCCTAGTCCTCAAATAGTTCGAGTGGACGTTCGAATGTGAGTTGGCTCGAACATGGTACTCAAGTACCTCAGTGTTTTCCTTCTTGGCTATAACACGCCATGTCCCAGCATCATGGCCCTCAAATAGTTCAAGTAGATGTTTGAACAGGAGGTGGCGTTCGAACGTGGTACTTTGTTCCAAGCTTCTCTAATTTTGTCCCCTAATATGCTAGCGTTACATTCAAGTTTGATATTTGTTGTCCCTGAGCCCTTGTTCACTTTAGGACCTAAAATTTCATCATTTAAACTCCATCAAAGTATAATTAGTCTTAAAAAGGCATAGTAATATGCTAATTTTAACTACTAATCACATTACACAATCCAAAAGGCATTCTTTTATAAGCAAACGTACCAAAGGGACATATAAAAATGATTTTCTCTTGATCATCAATTACAATTTCAATCTGGTTATAGTTAGAATATCCATCTAAGAAACAATAATATGCATGATCGACTATTCTTTCTAGGACTTGTTCTAGGAAAGGTAGGGGAAATGATATTTTCTGGTGAGGGAATTCAATTTTTGATAGTCAATACAAATACGTCAACTGGAGATTATACGCATAGGGACTAATTTATTTTTTTGATTTTTTATAATAGTAACACCAGATTTTTTAAGCACTACCTGTATGGAGCTAAACCATTTACTAGCAGATATAGGATATATAATATCAGCATCTAATAGTTTAAGTACTTTAACCCTGACTATTTCTTTCAAATGTGGTTTCAATCTTCTTTGTGGTTGTCGGGATGGTTTAGAATCTTCTCTTAAGTATATGCAATGAGTACACAAAAGATGACTTATTCTCTTTATATCTACTATTGACCAACCGATAGCACTTTTATGATTTTTATGATCTCTGTCAATTTTTTTTCTTGGATTTCTGACAACTTTGAAGATATTATCACTATATGAGTTCCATCCTCCTCCAAGAAGACATATTTCAAGTTAGTCATGAGAGACTTCAATTCTAGCTTAATAACTTCAACACTAAGCTTTACAGACTTGGGTTCAGCAGGCAATAATTCTTCAAATTTAGGACTCCAAGTTTCAATGACTGGCATATCTATAGACTCATCATTTTGTAAAGACTCTAATGCATGTGACTCTTTCTTTGTACAGTCTTTTTCAAATAGATTTTGAGTTAACAACTCAATAGAATTCACTTCATGCATCTCTTCCTCTTCCCTTGGCTATTTTGCAATATTAAACACAGTCAATTCCAAGGTCATGTTTTCAAATAAAAGCTTCATGATTCCATTCCTACAATTAATTAATGCATTTGATGTGAATGGTCAACTAAAATGACAGGAATGTATGTAGAGGAATGCAAAATTAGTTGTGTATCTAAAACAATGAAATCCACTGGGAAATAGAACTTATCAACTTGAACAAGTACATCCTCCACAACTCCTTGTGGGGTTTTCACAGATCAGTCTACCAATTGCAATGTGAAATTGGTAGGTTTCAAATCACCCAACCCTAGTTGTTTATAGATCGAATATGGAAGCAAAGTAACAATGGCTCCTAGATCAAGCAAGGCTTGCTCAATCCGGAAATTTTCTATTATGTATGAAACTGTTGGACTTCTAGGATCTTTATACTTAAGATGGGCCTTGTGTTGGATGATAGCGCTAACCTACTCAGTTAAAAATGCTCTTTTCTGTGCATTGATCTTTCTTTTCATTGTGCAAAGGTCTTTTAGAAACTTGGCATAAGATGGGACTTGTTTGATTGCATCCAATAAGGGGATATTAATCTTTACTTGCTTGAACAACTCAAAGATTTCAGAATGATTGGTTGGAGATTTAGGTTTCTTGACACTCTAAGGAAAAGGTAATGGAATAGGACTGGAAGGTTCTTTTTCTTTTGACAGTTCTAGTTCCTTTTCAGTTACAGGTTCAGGCTCAACTGGTTCATTTAATGGGATAGACTCAACTTTTGGCTCAGGAATTAACATATCTTTAATGGTTTTGTCAGTCACCTTACCACTTCTCAATGTGGTAATATCTTGGACCTGACTCAGAGATGGTTCAAAAGACACAACATTGGCCTGGTTTTGACTTTGTGGGGGTTTGGGTTGAGATGGAAATTTTCCCTTCTCTGATGTGCTCAAGGACTGGGTCAATTTGAATAGATGACTCTTGATATCCTCAATACTCTGTGAAGTTTGAGCTTTGAAATCATTAAATGCATGGGTGGTCTGAGTATTGAAACTCATTTGACTCTGAATAAACTGGTTCATGGTGTCCTCTAGACTCCTTTTGTGTTGGGGTGGATAAGGCTAATATGACTGTTGAGTCTGTGGTTAACCTAAGGGTGGACTTGGTGGTTGACTCATAGGTTGTGTATTTTTTCAACTGAAATTTGGGTGATTCCGCCACCCTAGGTTATAGGTTTCAGAATAAGGATTGGAATAAAGCTTGTTAAAGTTTGAAATGGCATTGGATTGTTCTATCAAGACCTCTTTGAATGCTGGAATGGTAGGACATTCTCCCATGGAATGTCCTGACAATGCACAGATTTCAATATTCACAGATTTCATCATTGGTATGCCTGCGGCTTATTCAGTCAGATCTTTAGTTAGTGTGCTCAGGCACGAATATTCTGAGTCTTTCAATTGCTCGTGTTTTAGGGAGTTGAACGTCTTATTCCCATTTAGCGATTTTTTAAAACATATCTCCTTCAGAGGTTCAGTGAGTTCACCTATCACAAATTTTTCTTCTTTAGGTTGGGCGTACGAGATTTGTGCCCTAATATAGATATAGAGGGAATTCAATAAGTAAGGTTGGACTCTCAAAGAGGAGAAACTGGGTTAGTAAAGAAGGGCTCTTTCGGGTTTCATTTTCTTTCTATCTAATAGGACAAATAAATAGGAAGGAATGGTTCTTTCATTGCATTGATAGAAGTCTAACTAGCTCCAAAACCATGGTTCCAATATTTATGTTAAAGAAAATTTTGTGGAAGCAAGAAAAGAAAAGCAGGTTTTTGATACTAGACTAAAGAATAACGTCTGAGGCTTGAAAGAAACCACTTGTGTCTTTCTTGGCTATGCTCAGCCTAGAAAGGTGGATCAAAGAAAGGTAGCTTGCTTCTCTTATGGACTGATAGCAGCTTAAGTAGTGGTCAGCCTTCCTATCAGAATGACTTCTTGGTCGAACCCCCTTTATTGAAATTAGGTCTAGCCAATAACTATCCAATCCTTCCCTCTGATCCCTTTCCTTGGGCCAAATGCCACCATTAGCCCTTCTCCTTTCGAGGTTTGGATTTTTTGCATCGTTTGACAGGTCGTTAGCCTCCACTGTTGTGAACTCGACCCTTGCATGCAACATTTTTGAAATACCATTTGTTGCCCTAAACTCCCTGACTATCGCACTACCCACACACGGCTATGCTACTACGACCAGACACTACTACCTTGATAAGGAGTAGCCCGAAAAAGGGAAAGTCGTGGAGACGGCAAACTCGCCAGTCAGGCACACTGTGAGGCTAACTATAGCAAATCGAGAGGTTACAATTCCTATTTAAACCTCCTCTTCCTCAAAAGGACTTTCCAACCAATCACACATCTCCATAGGGATGATTTCAAATTAGACTCCATCTTTCGTCGGTCAAGAAGGTACTAGGGAAATCTCCTTCAGTGCAAATGTCCCATCTGTCTGTCGAACCACAAAATTTGAGTCACCAACCACTTAACATTTTGGTATCTCTTTTGCAATCATGATGAAAGGTACATTTCCCTTCTTTTGAAATATTCTTGAATATTTGGAATCTAGCCGGCATTCTTAGCATGATCCTCGCCAGGGCTTTCATAGCATTAGCCCTAATGGATTCGGCGAAGCATATGGCATAATGGTTTTAGTAGTTCCATAATACCTTATTACTAATCTATTTATAGTAAAGCAAGCCTTTCACTTGGATAACACACAAAAAAGCACCAGCCAGGCCTTCAGCCAAAATGTTGGGGACAGGGTGAGAACCTTTCGTATGCTCTTTAAGTGTTGGTTTTTCCATATTTAGATATGGATATAGATCTAAGGGGCCCTAAACCACCGGACAATGAGGGCTCACTACCTTCACTTAGGATGCACTGCACTCACTTTGAGAAAGAATGTTGGTGCTACTTATCAATGTGCTATGACTGCGATTTTTCATGATATGATCCAGAGGGTTTCGCTATTTATATGTTTATATATGAGAAACTAGCACAGTAAAAACTCAAAACACAACCAATAAAATTTTGTTGAACATCCAAGATCCTAGGTGGATGCCATTCATAGTCAGGGGCATCGGGTTGGTTGCTCATGAAATGAAGCCACTCCCCTAACATAAACACGGAATTTCCTAGGCCCAGTTTCTTTCGCATTACTATAAAATTCCCAAATTAGGCATTCATATGCAGGAGCAAGAAACCTAACATAATTTAACCAACCCCGGGCAGCAAGATTTTGTCTTATCCCGATATTCTCAAAATCTTCATAAACAATAGGCCTTTCACAAATAATGGTTTTACTGAAAAAGTAATTGTTATAGCTGAACTATTGATTGATGTTCTCAAACATCGCAGTATTGTAAACATTCTGACCTTGGGGTTGCTACAAGGGAGCTTCTGATGGTGAAGATGATCCAATCCTAACCAGACTCGAAGAACCTCTTGTTCTTGTTCTTGGATCCATCTTTCTTGATTTCTCTCTTGATTTCAGCTTTCAATGAATTCTGATCGGAAAGAACCTAGAAAATAGTATGGGTAAGTGTTTAATCGGAAGAAATTTGAAAGAAAACTGCTAGATGACATGTATTTGAGGAGAAAAGGTGCAAATAGGTGTTGGAATTCATATTTTGGATGCGAGGGAAACTCTGAAATTGATCTTTTTCATGCCTGTGGGTATTTCAATAGGCAGCACCATCCGGACGCCGCCACCACCGTCCAGATAGTGGGATAACTCTTTTTTTTGGCTTGCTTCATGCAGGTTGCTAACTGCTGGTCTTCTGCTGCTTCTTTGATTCAGTTATTTTCCTATAGTTTCAATTATCAGTTTAATTCCATAAATACACATTAAACTACTATCATTCCATATTAAACTATGAACATTCTACTTTATTATTCTAACAATTATATTTACACAAATCTAACTTAATGCATTCCTTGATCAAAAATGATTTAATTAGAATCTTCTAATTCCACAACATCAGTGACTTGATTAATCTCACGTCTCACGTATCTTGAAAACATGGGACTAGAATAAGATCGCATCTCAGGGTAATCCTTACTCTACCCATACTTAATCCAGTCAAGAAGATCTAATGCTCAACCTGAAATTGGTTCTACACAATGATCAAAGAATGTATATCTTTTGGAAAAATATGCAGTATGCTTAGACTGAACCAAAACAATTGCGCATCCATCTTTTCTAAAATTTTGAAAATTTTTGAAAATTTGTTAAAAATTGACTTTCTATTTGATTTTTTAACATCTGTCAGTCACAAAGACGAATATGGATTGTTCCTTCCCCCCAACCTAAATTAAACATTGTCCTCAATTTACAGCATAATGAAATAAAATTATAAACAATTGCTAATAAGATTTGGAGGCGAGACCAATCCATAGTTCAAGACCTAATCTGTAAGACAAGCAACAAACGATTAGTACTACTATTTACAATTAAACACTCATGAAAACTTTTAAAAACACATACACTGGTTCCATTAGCTGAATGGAACTCACATCTTGAACAAGTCCATCATGATACGGCTTAATTCTTTGACCATTTACTTTGAAGACATTTCCAGACAATGGATTCTCAATTTAAATTGCCCCATGATCAAAAACTTGCTTGACAATGTAAGGGCCTGTCCATCTCGACCTTAACTTACCAGAAAATAGACGAAGTCTTAAATTATATAACAGGAATTTTTTAGATGGCTCAAAAGACTTCCGCACTATATTCTTATCATGAAAAATTTTCATTCTATATTTGGCAATTTTTGCATTGTCATATACTTCATTTCTCAGTTCTTCTAATTCATTAATCTAAATTTTGCGAGATGTAATTCCTTTGTCAATATCAAAGTTCATCATTTTGATTGCCCAATATGCTCGATGTTCCAACTCCACGGGCAAGTGACATGGTTTACAGCAAACTAACCGATAAGGAGGCATTCCCAAAATAGTTTTGTATGTAGTACAATAAGCCCAAAGGGCATCACTCAGTCTCAAAGACCAATCCTTGCAGTCTGGATTTACTATTTTTCCTAAATATATTTTATCTTCCTATTTGTCAATTCATCTTGTCCACTTGTCTAAGGATGATAAGGGGCAAATATCTTGTGAGAAATCAAATATTTTTTTCATGAGGTTTTCAAAAAATTTATTGCAAAAATGTGTTCCCCATCACTAATAATGGCTTTGGAATTTCCAAATCGGGACAAAATATTTTCTTTTAAAAACTTGATCACTATGCAGTGATCATTATTTCGACACGGAATTGCCACTACCCATTTGGAAACATAATCAATGGCAACCAAAATGTATAAGTAACCAAAGGATGGGGGAAATGGTCCCATAAACTCAATGCCTCAACAATCAAAAATTTCAATGATCAAAATAGGGTTTAAATGCATCATGTTTCTTTTTGAAATATTCCCCATTCTCTGACATCTGTCATAATTTAGACAAAAAACATGCACATCTTTAAAAAAAGTGGGTCCATAAAATTCATACTGCAAAATTTTAGCAGTTGTTTTCTTTGAATAAAAATGTCCTTCGCAAGCTTCAAAATGGAAAAAAAGAGATGACCCAACTAATTTCATAATTGGATATACAAACGTCTTATTATTTGATCTTTACAGTACTTAAACATATAGGAATCTTCCCAAAAGAAATCGTGTACCTCTCTCAAAAATTTCTTTCTGTCAATCCAGGTATAATGAAAATGAATAGTACCTGAGGCTAAATAATTGGCTATATTTGCATTTCATGGTACTTTTGTTACTACAAATAACTGGTCATCTAGAAAAGTTTCTTTGATTGGCATGGACACCTCTTTTGCATCATAAGTCAACCTTGACAAATGATTAGCTCCTACTACAAAAATAAGCATATTTTTTAGTTTATCAAACGCTAATTGACATGCATCATTCCAATCAAATGGTATATCCTGACATAAGAGATTACACATTGGCCTAGATATCGAACTGAAATTCTTAATGAATCTTTTGTAGAATCCTGCATGACTTAGAAAGAATAGGACATCTTTTACAGTCTTGGGTGGAGGGAGATTGGATATCAAATCAATTTTAGACTTAACGATTTCAATTTCCTCTGCAAAAATTACATGACCTAAAATAATACCTTGTGTGACCGTGAAATTACATTTTTTTCCAATTTAAAACAAGGTTTGTTTCTTCACATCGAGTAAGAAATTTTTTAAAATTTTCTAAACTTAATTCAAATGAATCAACATACACAAAAAAATAATCCATGAAAACTTCTAAATATCGATCCACCATATCATTGAAATACTTAACATACAATGTTGAAAAGTAGCTAGAGCATTACACAATCCAAAAGACATTCTTTTATAGGCAAAAGTGTCAAAAGGACATGTAAAAGTGGTTTTATCTTGATCATCAATTACAATTTCAATCTGATTATAGCCGAAATATCCATCCAAAAAACAATAATATGCATGACGGGCTATTCTTTCTAAGACTTGATATAAGAAAGGTAGGGGAAAGTAATATTTTTTGGTAAGTGAATTCAACTTTCAATAGATAATGCACATGTGCCAATTAGTGACTGTACGCATGGGGACTAATTCATTTTCTTGATTTTGTATGACAGTTACACCGGATTTTTTACGCGCTACTTGTGTGGGGTTGACCCATTTATTATCAAATATAGGATATATAATATTGGCATCTAACAGTTTAAGCATTTTAGTCCGAACTATTTCTTTCAAATGTGGGTTCAATCTTCTTTGTGGTTGTCGGGATGGTTTAGAATCTTCTTCTAATTATATGCAATGAGTACATAGAAGAGGACTTATTCCTTTCATATCTATTATAGACCAACCAATAGCACTTTTATGACTTTTTATAACTTCTGTCAACTTCTTTTCTTGGATTTCTGACAACTTTGAAGATCTTATCACTAGATGAGTTTCATCCTCCCCCAAGAAGACATATTTCAATTTAGTCAGGAGAGGTTTCAATCCTGGCTTAATAATTTCAACACTGGGTTTTACAGACTTGGGTTCAGCAGGTAGTAATTTTTTAAATTTAGGACTCCATGCTTCAATGACTGACATATCTACAGACTCATCATTATGTACAGACTCTAATGCATGTGACTCTTCCTTTTTACAC